CGTCCTCAGGTGATGAGACGTCCTCAGTTGATGAGACAGTTTTCAGGTGATGAGATGTCCTCAGGTGATGAGACGTCCTCAGGTGATGAGACGTCAGGTTCATGTTAGTTTATAGATGAATCTTCTGTGAGACAGGAGAGGACGTTGTTTTAAAGCTCTTCTTCTGTGGTGGTGGACATTTTAAATTCTGACAGCCGATGATGTAGTCGATGATGTGTAACACACACACACAGAAAGACACACTTGCACACAAAGAGTGTCTTGTGTGGCGGGACATCCTCCATTGTGAGTGCTTTATGCGGGAAATCACACACACACACACACACACACACACACACACACACACTAACACACACACACACACACACACACACACACACACACACACAGCCTGCAGTTACAGTCATGTAAAGACATGATGCAGCTCGACGGACAGATGCTTGTTTTTGTGATAAAAACGTGACTCAACATTCGAGTGTGTGTGTGTGTGTGTGTGTGTGTGTGTGTGTGTGTGTGTGTGTGTGTGTGGTGTGTGTGATAAATGCAGGTTAATGTGTCTCAGAAGGAGAATGAGAGGTTTTAATTAGCTGCTTCTCTTGAGTCCCTGTGGACACAAATGTCCTCTGAGACTCTTTATTAACATGAGCCACTAATTCATCCCTACTGTTTACACACACACACACACACACACACACACACACACAGAGTGACATGTGATATGAATAAATGTGTAAATATTTTTCTCGTGAACGTGTCCGAGCCGATCAGAGACATGTCGGTGCGTCTGCTCCTCAAACAGTGGACATCATCTCTTTCTCCTGCTCTCCATCTCTTTCTGCGGCCGGCCTCTATTTATAGACCCGCCTCTTCTAGATAAGATTATGCCCCCCCCCCCGACCGTCGGGATGGACGAGGAGGAGGTGAAGGAAGGAGCAGAGGGTGAACCGGTGTTTGGGCTGAAGGTGTTCTGTAACTTTCTGTGTTTGACAGAGAGAGAGAGAGAGCGAGCGAGGCAGCAGCTCCTTTGTGCTCCAACGTTCAAACAACAATTCAAAGAGTTTTAAACATTTACATCGTTTCTTAAAGTTCTGAAACGTTTCAAACCAAACTAAAGCAAAACTTTTGAAGCTTTAAAACCCGAACTTTGACTCTTTGACTCTTGAAGTGTTTCAGAAAGAGAAGAAGCTGAATTGAGTTGATGGTGTTAAACCAGTTTCAGGCTCAGTGGGCGGAGACGCAGTGTTTCTGATGTGGGTGTGGTCAGACTGTGGCTGGAGACGTGTGGGGGAGGGGTGGGAGTCAAACTGTTACACCTCTGTCTGGCCCCCCCCCCACACATCTGCTC